GGTAAATAAATAAAGTCATTAATCATCTATACTTTTTTTTACAACGGTCATGTACGTAAAATTGTTAGTGAAATTAGTGATTAGCGCGATCGAAATCCAAGAACAATCTTTGCATTTTATAAACAAGAACGTTGTGATTGTTCAAGTTTCTCTCGATTTCTACGATTTAATAATCCCTCGCAATTCTACTTGTTTTTTTTAACTACGTTAATTTTGTAACTTTTGCCAAGATTATTTCTTCATTTACTTCAATCATAAAACGACCGACATCTAAATGAAATAATAATATAATTAACATTATTTGTTACGTACGTAGAAATTAAGTATACTGTTATTTATAGAAAAGGGTTAATTAATTATATTATTTATAATATATTCCTTCAGAGAATATTTTTGTTATCGCGGTAAGCAACTTGTTACCCTGTTATACCAATTGTACATTGTATTATACAAACACAGTGATCATCGATTGTAATAATAATCAGATATTTTTGTAAATGGCAGATTCTATTTTTCCAATAATGTTCGACGGCACTGTGAACATTTTTATCACTTCGTAGGATATTCATCTGACAAGGATTACGTCTAACATGATTTTTTTTAGTGAGTCTTATTTCAAAATGTTTGAAATAAGTTGTTTTTTTCGATATTCGGAAAATATCGAAGATTTTTTTTTTGATAAGTTTCATCTCGTTTTTTTTCTCGGATGGTCCTGTTACCCAGTCCATAACAGATAACATTCCACAATAATCAAAACCAATTAGCAATTAGTCTTAGCACCTCTCTCATAGAAGAAAGGAGCACACGCCATTGCAATGCAATTTTTTTTTAGCTCAGAAGTACGCATGCTTTTCGTTAATGCCTTAGACATTTGGAATGTGATGGAAATTATTCTTCATTGGTCTCAAAGAATTTGATTAAACAACCAGTAAGTGGAAACAATAAAATTTATTTATTACTTTTAGAATAAAGTGATCCTTGACAATGTCGGGAATCATTTAACATATATATACATATATGTAATCATTTATTATTTAAAGATTAATTATTTATATGAAAACTTGGCTAATTTTCGTTTCACAGTTTTATTTGCAAAATAGCAGTTGAAGTAAATAAATCGTTGCTTCCAAATGTACAATGCGACTTCTGGTAGATTGTGTATTTATGGCCGGATAGGAAGCAATAATACATTTAATTTAGTAATAATTTTATGTGTAACATTACCATAAATACGTAATGCAAAATATAATATATAAATATATGAATATAGTTTTTTATGTAACATGTGCTGACAACACGCGTGCACAAACTGTAAATTGAACTAAGGAACAACTTGTACCAAGTTTCTGCATAATTGTTTTTCTATATTTATTTTTTACTGTAACACGCTTTCGTCGAACACGATAAATTAGTTTCGGTTCTCATTACTTAAAATTAATCGACGAAGCACATTAAAAACAAAAAAAGATAGATGATAAAAGTATAAATAATTTTTTTATTTTACGGTATATGTCATAAAAAAAATACACGTAGTTCTTACTGTTATCAACTTTTTAATATATTTTTTTTTATTATTTTCCTATTTATCGTTATTTATTACATCTAAAGTTTTCTGCCATTAGACTATCTTGTAATATTGTTGTAATTTAAAGGTACTGTTTATTATTAAGATCAGATTTTCAGAAGCAATTTCTATTAGTTGAAAGGCAAGTATTGTCAACCACTAACAAATGAGCTGTTGTGTAACAGTTTGTTAATAAGCTCGTAATACAAATTGTAAATAAATTCCTTTCTCGCAGAATTGTTATTGAACGTTGTAGAAAAAATTGTATCATGTAATAAATGAAGTAAATTTTCAACTGATTTTTTTGAACAAAAAAAAATATGTATATATATTCTCGTTAAGCGACAATTTTATTTTCACGTTATATTATAAAATGTCAGTAATCAATAAAGCTCGTAGTCGGCGCGTTTTCGTTTCTTCAAATTCGCCGTAACATCGGAGGGAGGAATACTGCTAGTGCCCATTTTTAACCACTCTAATAGCCGCATTTTGGCTTTCTGTCCATTTGCAAAAAGATCTCTTTCGAGTCGGGGAAGTTGCAATCCCAAGGTTGAATCAGATATTGGATTGAGTGCCCAGTCCATAACTAATCGAAAACGGGATTGAAATGTCTAAAAAAAGAGGGTAACATTATTAATGACAATTTTTAATGTCATCTAAATTAGGAGATAAAAACTGCAATAATTCTACCATATTTTTATATAATATTAAATTTTATATTTATCACTTCCATATTTCTTTTTATCATTTAAGTATAAAGTAAATAACGAGGTCTGTAGTTCAACAGATAGCAATTAATATCTTTGCATTTACAGGTATTGAAACATTCTTTGGAACTTAGCATTCTGTAACTTCTTTACCTGCAACAAACAGTCTGCTATCTGTTTGGATTCTTTGTCATTATACCTTTGCACATACATGCCTAATTCATAAAAATAAGGATTCCATTTGCTTAGAACAACAGCATCAGCATCTGCCTCCAAAATTTCTCTGATAAAATATTGAAAGAAAAAAATAAACAAAAAAGAATCTCAATTGTAACTATTCAGATTTAAGTAGAAAAATAATTCTGGTTAGTTAACTAATAGGATTTCCACAAGCAGAGGGAAATAATTAAAAAATTATGATTTATAAATATAAAAATGGAATAATAATTGAACACATTCTATGTAATATGTACTGAGGAACAAACCTATATCCTTCTTTATATATTTTTGGTAGTTCAATATTAAGTACAGGGGGTTGTAATTTTTTAAGTGGTCCTGCCATCCATAATGGGAATTCTACTTTTGCTCCCACTGTTAAGTTATCAGATGTTGAAGAGGAATCCAAGAAACCTTAAGTATGAATCATTTCGTATTGTTATTAAAGTGCATGCCACTTAACAATAGAATTACACTTTAATTGTAAATCGAAGTACTCTTGTATAACATGAAAAAGTTTGTACTCAAAAATATAGCGAGTAACGAAGAATAGGTTAAGTGTCACACTTTAAATCGAATTAAATATGATTAATACGTATAATATGATTAATGAGTACTAATAAAGTGAATGTAACCATTTCTAATAGGACTTAAAGTTAAAGACACATCAATGAAGTGATTTATTGTATGATTTATAGTTCATACAAATAATCAACAACTCACCCAATCTCGGCGCTTCGACTTCAATTCTACAACTCACACGTTCTTCGGTCATTAAAATATCATTCAGCGCAAAATAATTAGGCGAATAACTTTGGCAAGTTGCCATTTTACAAAAACAATAAACACGGCAATATTATCCGACTGTTACTAACTACCACCTGCAGCGGTGTCGCCAGCACAAAAGGTTGGTAAACAAATTACAACTAAATAATTTTCCAACAGGGTCAGGTTATTAATCAAACTTTCTCGCATCAATATTATTTATTAATCTTATTAACATTACACCGTGCAACGAACATCATTTCTTTCATCAAATGTTGAAAATGGTAAACAAAGTTGCGCGCCATCTGCGGCAGAACGCTCAAGCTTGTACTCAATTTGGTACCCCTCTCTCCTACTGGATGTCATCAAAATGTCATTTAAATCAAAATTTCATTAAACAAACAAGTACACAATCTCCAGACGAATACTCACGAACAACCATAGCTGAAAACACAAATTAATTTCAAGTTCCAAACGAATTCGCTCCAAAAGATTCCAACTGACATTTTCCATTTTCGGAACTGAAGAATCGAATCATTACAATATCGACCCGCAGGTGGCGCTGCGATGCATATCCGACGTGCAATTATTCCGCAGGAGTGTGTTAATCTAAACATTCCCCGTATTTCATAATACAAGAGGGTAAAGCTGTGTTTGCGCAGGGCTGTTGCGCAGTCAGTCAAGAACAGTCCACGGGCGAGAGTAGTGGGGCTGCTCAGAAGAAAGATGGCCGCCACCAGCGAGGAACGGAGTGTTATGGAGGTTTCTCAGTCGAATCCCGGGCAAAATCAGCCCGTCGATCCCCTTAAACTACTGTATCCGATGGTTAACGAGGAGGAAACGCCGCTGCCAAGGTCATGGAATCCCAAGGACAGGTACACTTTCATCGGCCTCTCCAAAAACAATCTTCGTGTTCACTACAAAGGTACGATTTCGATTGCTCCTCCTCTCGATCTCTCTTGCTGGTAGATATTCCCGTGTACGAGGCGATTGATCGCGATCGATTCACCGTGATCCTTCGCCGGAAGGATCACGGAACGATCCCGGCCAATCGGATTCGATCGTTGCCCGATACGGACGAATCGTTGACGGGGCTTGTAATATCGATTGAAAATGGCAGGGCTCCGTTTCGCGTGTGTCAGCGACCTAAACAAAGGAATCAGCTGATCGGCCGTGGTCTCCGTTCGACTTTCTCTCGATCACCACGATCCGCTGTTGTGCCTCGAGATTTTCCATGATGCGTGCCGTGTGTTTCACCGTTCGTCAAGGTTCCCTTCCGTTAGGCTACGTAGCGATCGCGGGCTGATTTTTTCTGGGATCGACAGAAAAAATGAATCTGCGTAGGGGAAGACGCAATGACAATGACAGCTGCGATGTTTGAACAGTTAGTTTTCTCGTTGCTCTCTCACACCTATGATGTTCTCGCTCTTTCTGCTACTCCCCGTCTCTCTCCCTCTTTTTCCATTTCTTTCTTCCCCTCGGTTGGTCGGTCGGTCGGTCGGTTGGTCGGTCGGTCGGTCGGTCTATCTCTCTCTCGCTCTAGCGCGCGCTTCCTCCCTCCCGCTGTACCATCTTCGTCGTAGATTAATTCCTGGGTTTACATGTTTTTAGAATGAAATATTTCGGTTTGTTGGTTTTCGTTGCACGTGGCGTACGACGCTGGTGAATATTGCAACGTGTCGTTGTCATTACACGCTTACCCCCCTTCCCGAATGGAAATTCCGTTGACTTGTCAATGCCAAAAATTCAATGTTTTCACGCTCGAAAGCTTGTCGGGTTTTCGACGCTATAAACAATTCTGGATGAATGTTCTTTTATATGCGTATTAAATGAGAATTTATTGTTTCGCTGGAAGCTTCGGAATTAATTGTTTTCAATTTGCTCCGGTTTAATGGTCTGATTTAAAAAAAGTATTACGAGCGTGTAGTTTGAATTATTCGTGTGTTTGATTGATTGTCGGTATGCATTTATTAAATATATTATGATTTATGTGAATGCAGTGAATTAATATGTGTATTTTACATTCTTTTTCAGGATTAAAGTAAATGTAAATTAATCATGACTAGAGTGCAATTGATCCCACAGCTTGATTATTTATGTTATTTTTACAATTTTGTTGTCTAATTACTGTTTTACACTATCTTTATTCTGCGTATTTATGTTTATTTTCTGTGAGCAAGTGCAGCAACTTTTGGAGACCACTGTTAGGAAAATGATCGTGTTCAAATTTAATGTCTGTTGTTATTTTTCTATCTGAACAATTGTTGAAATGTACTTAATTAATTTCTATTATAACTGATTTACAGTTGTTACGTGTAATTGCCAGTGCAACTGACACTCGTATGATTAGTCATACAATATTTTTTGAAATTTATTGGTAGCGATTAAGATATATAATTTCCTATAAAATAAAGAAACATAAATTGGCGAGTTAAATACTGTATTACAATAAGTTATTTTATGATGGAAGGTAATTGAACCATGTTATATTGGAAAACATATTTATTCCCTTTTAACAATCAACTTTTATTTTCATTTTGTATATAAATTGTTTCAAGAATAATTTACATGATATTTCTTTAATCGATATTTTTAATTAACAATAAAAACAACATATGATACTGAATGTAATAATGTTTTCATTAGTAAAATAATTTTTAGACCTCATTGAAGTTAATTACTCATATGTATATGTAAGCATGTTTTAATTTTATGTAATTAATTTTAAAACTTTTAATTTCTTTAATGGATGCACTAAAGGAATAAATAATTCATCAGAGCAATTTGTGAAATAAGCATCTGGGTACAATATAACAAGGTAATATTTATTAGTTTATGTTTTCACTATTTAAAATTTCAATTTTCAACATTCTGTATAGTGCTCGATGTAAAATAATTGTTCTGTGACAATTTTATTATTTTATTTCGTGTATATATCAATTAAAGTGAATGACTATCGACGATTAACATGACTATAAGACATGTACCTGCAAGTAGATAATTCTGAAGTTATTAAGAAATTTGAAAACAATGCAAAGTTAAATGTATCAGGGTTTTATCTAAATTATGAGTTATTTAATAGTAAATTAACAAGTAAATTCTTCCCTTATTTTACTTTAGAACTATGAAGTCATCATTGCCTCTTTCACTAAATTTTCTCATTGATCTGATCAATTGATGGTACTTTTGTTTCAGGCTACGGAAAGACACACAAGGATGCAGCAAGTGTTCGTACTACGCATTCAATTCCAGCAGCGTGTGGTCTCTACTATTTTGAAGTGAAGATCATCAGTAAAGGTAGAGATGGGTATATGGGAATCGGTCTCTCTGCACATGGAGTCAATGTGAACAGGCTGCCAGGTTGGGACAAACATTCGTACGGATACCATGGTGACGATGGGCACAGTTTCTGTTCTTCTGGAACGGGTCAACCTTATGGGCCAACATTCACTACTGGCGATGTAATTGGTTGCGGTGTGAATCTTGTCAATAATACTGCCTTTTATACAAAGAATGGACACCATCTTGGTATCGCATTCACCGATCTTCCGGTACGTATGATTGGTATAAGTATGTAGATTAATCTTCCCTTATTTCTATTAACACGTTCGCTTTCGTTACAGCCAAATTTATATCCAACAGTGGGACTTCAAACACCAGGAGAAGTAGTAGATGCAAATTTCGGGCAAGAACCGTTTGTCTTTGATATCGACGATATGCTTAACGAACTTCGTGTTAAAACAAGATTGCAAATTATAAATTATCCCACACCAGATCACGGACAGGGCCAGTGGCAAGCAGTTCTCCACAAGTAAGTTTAATTGAATGGTTAGATAGTACTACGATTTTTTTTTATTTAATTTCTGATCAGTTTCATCACTATTCTTGAACATTTTTGCCCCTTTTTTATAGAATGGTATCAACATATTTAGTCCATCACGGTTATTGTGCCACTGCCGAGGTCTTTGCTAATAGTACTGGTCAAGTGTTCGAGGAAGATTTTAACTCCATAAAAAATAGACAAAGTAAGTCTTCTCCGCAACGTGATTGAAAAAAGGTGATTCCTATTTTCGATTATGTAACATTTTTTATTTCAGGAATTCTAAAATTGGTACTAGCAGGCAGAATGGGAGAGGCCATAGAGTTAACGAGTCGACTGTACCCAGGTCTCCTTGAGAGAGACTCAAACCTTCTTTTCGCTTTAAAGTGTCGACAGTTCGTTGAGATGGTGAACGGTAGTGATTCTGAGGTCTGTCAGAATTCCAATGTTAATCAAACTAGTGTTATACAGTCTACAAAAGCTTATACAAAGTCGTCTACAAATGGTACTGTCGAGGAGATGAACATTAGTAATGCAATCAATGGTTCTACCGAGCAGCAGTTTATTAACGGGCAAATTGAGGATGATGTAGATATGGAAGAGAATATTGTAAATGGCGTGAGAAACAATAATGGCTATCAAAATGGTGATTTGAGCACGAATGGATACAAGTGTCAGAACGGAGAGGATGTTGATATGGGTGAGCTTTCATTGTATTTTTCCCTCGCCAATTAATCGCATTAGATTATTCGAAATGTTGACGATTTAATTTGTTTTCAGAAGTGGACAATACTAATCAAACACAGCAACAACAGAACGGCAGTTGTAGTCCAGAAAACACGTTGAACAAGGGTAACAAGAAACAGCTTTGCGGCGGCGATAAGCAAGCGATCGAGAAAATGTTGGAATTCGGCAGGCAACTTTACTCTCAGTCGATACATTTACGGCAGCAGCATGGAAAAAGTGAGAGCAATAAAAAAATGCTTCAAGACGCGTTCAGTCTGCTCGCTTACGCGAACCCATGGAATTCACCGGTTGGATGGCAGCTCGATCCCCAAGAAAGGGAAACCGTTTGCGCAAGACTCAATTCCGCCATACTTGGTAAGACAATACGTTTTATTTGCTACATGCAAATCGGCAGATCAAAGTGACGCATTCGAATTGCGTTTGAACGCAGCGCCGATGAGATCAGTTGAATATTATCTACAGATTTATATGTTAACACGTTCGCAGACAGTAAGAATTTTAATGAGCTGCGGTACACTGAGGGTTAAAGTGCACAATGTTGCATGCATTATAAATTTTTGTTATTTAATGATCGAAGAAATAAAAGAATGCGAACAAGTTGTAAGACTATTTATAACGGGGAGTCTCTCATTAAGATGAAAGAAGTCTCTGATATTTAATACTTTGATCGTCTGTAATTTCAGAATCGAGTAACTTGCCACGACGACCACCATTAGAAGTCGCGGCGTCGCATGCAAAGGAACTCGTACGGCTTATGTCTCGTGCTGGTCTTGGGGCTTGCGGCTTCGCAGATGTAGACAATATCATCCAATATTGACGGTGCCTACCCCTGCTGCCACGTCTGCTTCTTCTGCCGGCACGAGTTTGGTTAGTAATTCTCTTAATGCGTTCATTGCGCACCAATTGCAAGAAACTGGGGATAGTTGATACGTCCGGTGATCGACAATGAATTGAGATCAATGTGAGCATCAAAACAATATATTGAATGCGTATGCGATCGTTGTTAAGTTGATTAGGGAAGATTGTTAACGAGTTTTGATGACTTTAAACTAAGCTATATTTTGTGATAAGAAAGATATCTTGCATATTTAAATAAAATACATTTATTAATTTTGTTTATTACAAAGAATAAAGTATATCCATTCTTATAAAGAAGAACAAAGCATTTTAATTTTCGTTTATCCATTCGTCCGTGTCATCTTGAGTCTCTGATTTCAAACGCTTTACTCGCATGTTCATGTTTTCCTTACTTTTCATGTGTTTCCAGTTTCTTCCCTGTTCCAGATTGTTTCTGGAACTAATTTCTTTTCAATGGTATTAGCGTTCTTTTTCTTTTTTTTAAGTAGACATCACTCGTCAGATTCAAAGTAAAATAGTTCTGAAAAATAATTAGATATCATTTTCCATATATCAATTATCTCTGGACTCTGTGCAAACTATTTCACATTTTTACTTTTTTTTCTCCATTCGCCGTCATTATCTGGCTCGTTGATAATAAGTGGTCGGTTGAGTCGGGTCTATCTGTAAACGACTTCGAATAATTGAATAAAGTTTGTTGCAGGATGTGGAAACGGAATTCAGCTAGAGTCTGTTCTACCGGCAGTTGGCTCTCTGGCTCGATCTCACACGTACACCTAAACACAAACGAATACATGTACACGCTCGCGGAACTCACCAAAAAGTACACACTGTTATGGCAACGGGGATGGGTGCGAGGATGATAATTAAGCTGGCATTAACGGTCAAGTTTGTCGATCGCTGTACGTGTACGCGGCTGAATTTTAAGCAGCATAGTCTGGCAAAATGCAAGGATCACGTTTCGATTACGATCATACTGTATAAGTACGGGAATGTAAGAGTATAAAGTTCGAAAGGGCGGTGTTCGAAGTCGAGATCAAAACGAAGGATGAAGTGATTGAGCGATGAGTATAACGTGAATGATAATTCAGATCGCAACATTTCAATACACGGAAATTTTTCATTGACAGTGTAGACGGATAAAGTACTGCAGGTGTTCCTCTCGGCGAGATATAAGGTTGCTGATTCTAGCTTAAGAGTGTAACAGACGAGAAACAAGGTTGAAGATGACAAGAAGATACGAATACAGTGAAGAATGATGTTTCAACACCTACCAACCAAAATCACCCTTTTCTCGTTTCCTCTTCTTAACTCGGAAGTTTACCACAATCTCAAGGTTGTTCCCTCGCTCCTTTCATCTACCAAGCAGAGACCCATCATCCTGACCATAAAACCACCGCTTTCCTCAGGTACGTTTCCAATCTGGTGTATTTTTATTTCAAAATTCAACTCTTTCTTTGTTGCCATTGTCTCGTTTCACGGTTATTACCTTCACTGTACCAGCAATGATAAAAACTTCTCTTTCGGAGTCTGTCAAAAATGAATCTTGTCAACGATTGTCCGGTTTCATCGCATATCTTAGACGTTGCTTAACGTTTTATGGTAACATCACGTGTCATCTCGTTAAGTTTGATCCAAGAAGAAATTTTAGTTTTATTTATTCGTAATTTCGCTCCGAATCTCGTGTCGGCTTTCATCACTATTACACGCATACACGCAAACACACGTCCCCCCTCCCCCTCTTCTATCATACCACTTCCCCTCATCGTAGCCTGATTTTCTCCTCACTTGCTTTTAAAGGGAAAATTTTCGAAATGTCCCTGGTCATCCTTCATCGGAGTCACTTTTTTATCGAATGAAAAAGTAAGGAAAATCAACGGGAAAAGTCTCGTCGATAATTATTACATTATTAATCCCCGTCGAGTATTCTGGGTAGCCTTTCTAATCGTGTCGTCAACGAGTCGATTTTTGTATCAATTGTTAGCTTTTAAAGCGTAAAAGGAAGAAGACGGTAAAATAAATATAAAAGAATATTCTTCGATTACTTGTCATTATTGTATAATTAACGTAGAGCGATAAAGGTACCGTTTCATAGATGATACCGTTTAAATTTCGTTTTACTTTCGATCACATAATCGATAAATAACGACGAAGCAATAATTATAATTTTTAAACGATCTTTTCTCTTTCTGCCTCTTTTTCTTTGGTAATTCCATTTTCTTTCTCTCTCTCTATCTCTATCTCTGTCTCTCTTTCTCTTTTTTTAATACAAATTTTTACTATTTTCTATTGTTACTAATATGCTTTCGAGTCCGTCGATCGGATGTTTCCTTTTTTTTTATCTGTCAAGTTAATCGTAATCGTCACCGAGCAACTGTTACGTTCTTCCGTTCGATTTTTCATTTTGTTTAAGGGAAAAAAAATGAAGTATATATATAAATATATAAATATATTGTGCGTTAGTGATTATACCGTGTGATTACGAGGAACTTCATGAACGATCGAGTGATGAAGTCGAAAACTTGATGATCCTGAATGATTGTAAAAACAAACAAAGTCGAATATTATGACAGTTATACAATAATAATAAAAGTTGCATAATTAAAGAGAACGTTGTAAAATAAGCGGTGTTTTATATTTCTGTCTTTTTCTTCTGTTACGTTTTTGGAACGCCTATTGTCTTCGCCGAGGAGTTTCGATTTTATTTTAGCGTATTCCAATAGAGTGGCGACGAGCTTTCGTAGATTCGTTCGTTTTCAATAGATTCGTGACATTTTTTATAGGCGACGTGGTACGAGATTTCGTTCACGTTCTTTTAAGGTGTACAATTCAATCGAGAAGTGACCAAACTTTTGCTTTTTGATGAAGCAGTTTAACCAGATTTCCTTTCTATAAATAATTCAGAGAATTCAAATTGGGCAAAAATTAGTTTTCTTTAACGACTCTTGCATTTCAGTTGCACATGATGATCTAAAACTTTAGGTGACTGGCACAGATCACGAAACGAGGATTTTGTTCATTGAAACAAACATTTATTGTATAAAAAAAAAAGCAAATTTTTGGTGACCGAATGACGGAATGACGAAGAAGAATTTGAAATGAAACGGTGACGTAAGGAAGCACGATATGTGTATAATAATAATAATATTAATAATAATAACTAACAGTACTAATACTAACGACGAGGATGATACAAAAATGACACTCAATTAATTAAAATGAGCAGATTAATAATAAAAAGGAATATATACACGTATATACATAACTATATATACGTATTTATATGTGTGCGTGTGTACGCATACGTTTGTGTACTTACGTACGCGTACATCTATGTATATGTACGAAACAATCTTGTATTCTACAATAAGTAATTGTTTTTTATATGCGATATAGTGTATTATTATTATAATACGTCATACGTATACGTATGTATGTATATATGCATATGTATATATATATATGTGCGTGTGTACGTATGCATCTATGTAGAGGTATATATAAACATGTATATGTGTATAAATGAAAAAAAAAGCAAAGGAAGTAATCGTATGATTAGCGTACGCGTGAGGTTTAAGCTAAATTTTCATTATTTTACGTGTGTGTATATTTATTGGCACATATATCGGTATGTCTATATGTGTGTACTTTTTCGTACAGAATAGGATGCGTCACAGTATGTGTTTGAGTGTCATTAATCAAAAATTGTTCAGTGTTGCATCAAATTGTTTTTCGTTCTTTCTTTTTCAAATTCAAATCTTCGTTGGAACGATTGTCGCTCGTGTCAGTATTTCTTCTAAATATTATCAGTAGTGCCACATGGTGCCACATTAGAAAATGGTACTCCAGTATCATGGTGTACTATATTATACTATGTATACCAAAATGGTATTGTACTATTGCAGCACCATTGGTACCATATGCTTTACAATGGTATCAGTGATGCACATGTGATAGAATGATACCCTAGCACTGTGATATCGTTGGTATTCTGTCTACTAGAATGGTACCCTGTCCCTGTATTACCATTGGTACCCATGATTAGAATGGTACCTTATCACAGTGGTATCATTGGTACTCTAATATAGTGGAACAGTATTTCATCATTGTGATATCACTAATACTCTAGTATAGTAGAATTGACTCAACAATTATAATGTCACTGGCACCCATGTACTATAGGGGATCTCTATTATTGTGACACCATTAGTAGCTCACTATTAATATGGTAGTCTGAGGTGAACTAAATTGTTTCCAGTAATGGGTAATTGATAAAAATAGAATGCACAGGTTCATGCCCTTTTGATATCTAATTGAATAGTCTATAATTTTCACTTCTCATAGATACATCTCTCCTTCCTTTCTTCTGGTTTCCAAATGCCCAGGAAAATCTTTGCTGCCACAGTGAATAGTTTTGGAAAAGACAGCATATGACACTTTATGTGACTCATCCTCTATATACAGACATAGAATATGTGTGTATAAATGTTGAAAAGGGTGTGTGCATGAGTGGGTGTATGAATTCATTGATTCCAACAGGTATTCAATGGAGATACTTAACGATTTTTAGTGTTAATCGTTTTTCTGTACTATAGATAGACAGCCACGAATATCTTGCGAATAATACAGTATGATTTGGAGATATTGTTCATTGAATACTGCTTCTGTCATTCATTTCAAAACAAATCCTAAAATTTCTATCATTTCTTGGGGGATGAAAGGATGAATGAATTCTTTATTATTTGGACATGTCCCACACATCTCTATATCTTTATTAAAATACTAGGAACATCTTACAAATTCCATTAAGTATATTCATATAATATTAGAATCTATGTTTACAAATATTTTCTCACATTCCTTTCTTATTACTCACGCATAATTATCTTATTTCAGGGATTTACATTACCTTCAAATGTTTCTAAAATTACCTACACCTTTCACAGCCGATACATCCTACGCAGCGATACCTACATTACCCAGCAATAATAATTCTACATTATCGGTAACTGCAGCGTCGGTAACTGCATCATCGGTAAAACAGTATACCTTTTCTCATTTTACAAAAATCTGCAAGAAAGTCACAGCAAATAACTCTAGTCACGTTTCAGGGCACAGAAACGACTCTACCCAACGTAGCTAGAATATAAATGAACGCAGTGTCAAATCCCAACGTCTGCTTCAATCACGCGTACTGTCAACCCCCAGGGGCATCCCCATGGTGTCCAGTGGATCTCAACGGCGACACAGGCTGCCCACCCACCGGCGCGAAATTCGAAAGCAACCGGAATCCCCGAGAAGACACCGGTCTCGATCTTTCAGGACGTTTCTCAACTCGTCGAACTCTCGAGCGGTGCGTCGCAGGAGGAATCCCCGCGCGTGCGCTCCTCGGGATCGCTCGTCACTATCCCGGAGGGTCCGGTGGTGGGGCCAGTCGGCGGATCGATCGACGTCCCGTCGAACCTCGCGGCCGTGAGCGCCGCTGCGCCTCTGGGGCGGGGCGAGAGGGCGCCTCAGTCGTGCACCGGA